GAGAGAGAGAGAGATGTACCTGTGTTGTCTTGAAGACATACACAAACGAGTTCCTCCTTATTAGAAGCAACTCTCTCGCCATGCAGGCTTTAAGAAGCTCCCATTTAGTTAAAGAAAACACTTCAAAAGACAAAGCGTCGTTATGGCTCTGTGTTTTATCAAATGGATTCGACAGCTCTTTAACCAGGCTTTCACCCACATGATAAGACTGAAACTTCTTGAAAAATTCATCGACTGAAACGTAATGGTAAGGTTCACCATTAAAGCACCAGTACTGAGCTTGATCCTTTTTCGATGTCAACTGAACCAGAGCCGAAATTTGGCGTTATCAAGACCGAAAATTTCAAAATTTCGGATAAAAAATGAGAATACATGAAGAATAATAGCCCAAATCTAGCCAGAATTCCCGAAAATTTGATGAGCTTTCGATGAGGTGCGTGAGATTTCAATTTAAGAAAGGGAAAAAATTTATAAAGGGATGAAACCTTGTAATGTAGAACTACGGATGCACCTCAAAAATCCATCGGACTTGGTAGATTTAATGTTGGAAAACCCGATCATCTCGACATTGTATGACTATGAAAAATAAAAAAAAATTAAGTCTTATGGTGTTGTTCAATTTGTTTAAAATTTTCATATGTTTAAATCTACTTGATTTTAACTATTTTTAAAATTTAAAATTTTATAATTAGATATAAAAATAGATTTTGAGATAATCTTAAGAACTTTTTACATCAAAATTATATGTCACGATAAAATTTGAAGGTGCACCTTACCTCTACAACTACGGATGCATCCGAATGCCAACTCTACCTTTTTTTAAATTTAAGGGACAAAAATAATTGGGACTTCATTATACAAAAGGTAAATAGTCTCTTTATATATTTTTCTTTTAACTTTTTATTTATTTTCTAAATAGTTATTCAGCTATTTAAAGAAAAAAGTTTATATCAAGTTGCAACCTTACTTATATCAGTAATATTACGGTAATCTATGCTAGTTTTTTTGTTTCAAAAGCATAATCTTGAGGCTATGTATATGATACTTTTTGACATTGTCAAAAAACACGTCAAATATGTTGAGGATTGATGTCTTGTATTTTTTGGAAATAGATATGTCAAGGTGAAGTAAAAAAGACGACTTTGGAGGGCCATTTAAAGCCCGACGGGCCCTGTGGAGATTCGGGGGCGGCAGCCCCAGGAAAAAATTCGGATATATCCTTACATGGGATTCCATATATATAAGACTTGATATATATATGTACAAATGTATTTCGGTAATTTGTACCATCTATCTGAAACTTGATATATATCGTTACGATTGGGTGTTCATCCAAAGTTAAAAGTTAAGAGAAAAAAACTGATATCTTTGTAATTAGATAAAAACAGAGAGGCGTGATGAAGAGATAGTATCGTAACGGTATTCTCCATTGCCAGTAAAGAAACTCTAATATCCCGTGGACACATATATCTTTACGCTGTAATTGATTGTCTCTTTCTTTTGTGTTTGTTTCTTCTTCTTCTTTTTTCCGTAGATTGCTTTTTGTTTCTACAAAATATACAACACCCAACTAAAATGGATTGTGTACAACTTTAAACCTTACTTCTACAAATAAGGTTGCCACCTTATATAAAATGCACCAAATTTACGTAAATATCCCTTATATTTTCAAATGCCTTTTATATTAATATCTTACATTCATCTCCCTTTTTAAATAATACATCTAGTACTTCAATTTGATCTCTTTTTTTTTTTTCTGTAAATCCAAGTCAGCTCAAATTTTGTGTATCCATGATTCTTACCAATTTGCAGCTATAAAAAAATGTATAATGATAATTAAATAAAAATAAAAATACCAAAATATCATGCACAAATTTTAGGGCTATTTTGGTTATGTTGATGAATTTATGAATGTAAAATTATTATATTTATATTTTTCACTTGTGCATTATGGCGAGAAGTATGGATACCCGAAAATTGAGCTCCATCTCAATATATATATATATATATATATATATATATATATAAAATGATAAAACTGAAATACTACACGTTGTAAAATAATAATAAAATATTAGGACATTTTTCAAATTTTGGAAAACATAGGGGATATTACATAAATTTTTCCATAAATAACTTTTTTTTTGTCTTTGCCAAAAACAAACCTATTTCAACCTAAATTTGCCCTATAGAGTTTAAACTCACTTTGCTAATATATCACTGGATAATTTTGATTTGAACAAAAACCCTGAAATTTGATGGATTCGAGAGATCAAAAGATCGAGATGAAACTTTGCTTAATTATACTCACATTACAAGTTTTTTTTCTTCCTCTTTTTTGGCGTAGTTTATTGATGGGAATATTTTTTTAGTGATTGTTTACTATGCGACTATTTGTCATAGGCCATAATCACTTTTAGTCATTAGATATCAAATCAGATGGCTTAGGATGTACCATAAAGTTCAAGATTTTTTTTTTGAACTTTAAATCAAGTTAATGACACATTTATAATCACCTGATTTAAAATTCGATGGATGAAAGTAATGGTGACCTCCTTGTACTAAAAATAATAATCTCTTTATATGATATTTCCTTATTTTTATTGGCAATTTATTCCGTAGTGTGAAGAGAAGCATTCCTCAAATCTATAAGATTTTCGTTTCCTATTTACTATTATCCAAAGTTTTCACTCGAAACAAAAATATAATTTGAAGGTTTTGATTGGAGTTGATTGAGAAATCTTTGTCGAGGATTGGAAGCATCAATTCATGTTGAGCATGAACACTGGCGGTCGGCCTTGAAATTTTGCATAAATTTATATTTTTCAGCTTAAATTGAAATAATTGATTTCTTTGGGTAAATTTCTATTCTTCCTTTCTAATTTCATATAATCCATCTTATGTATATTTTTTAATTTTTTCCCCATTTTTTGGGTTTTTTTTAGCTCTTTGGGTAGCTTGGCTCCGACTCAAGTGACTTGCTTGTGTAACTCAAACTAGGTTCAAGCCGCTATTTCTCTAATTGCTAAAAAGGTCATCAAATTTTTGTAAAAAGGAAAGGAAAAGTATATAATGAGACCATTTACTTTTAGTATAAGGTGGTCACAATTAATCATCACCATTGGATATGAAATTGGATGGCTGCATTTATTTCATTGACCAAACTCAAAGTTCAAAAGGAATTTTCTTGATACACTCGAGCTATCAGATTTCACATCAGATGATCGTTACCAAAAGTAAACGGTCACATTGTATACAATCCCTAAAGAAAATCCGACTAAGTGAGGAAATACAATTTCTCACCGCTCAATTTCCCCAAGAATATCTTGTTTGAAATATTTTTCAACTAAATCACTTAAATTGGCTTATATGAGTAGAACTCTCCTGCATTTTTTGAAAAATGGCATTGTAGGTCAGCAATCGTCCAACTCAAAACGGGAATTGGCTGTGACAAAATCAATTCTGAAAAAGAATCAGTACTGGCCAGATCCCTGAAAGCTTTCTTTTTGTAATTATTTTTTGAACTTTTCTAATATTTTCATAGGTACTAAGTCACAACCAATAAGCCATTTTTTCATATTTTTTAAAATGTATTTTTCATTTGTATAAATATTGTTACAAATTGTCAATTTAGACCAATCCCGAGTGCCAATCCAACATGAGATTGATGGGGGGACAATCCACCTCACCGATCCGTTGTTTCAATAATGGTTTCAGGCAAGTAAGATTGCCCAAACTTCTCTAAATCTGGGGTAACTATCCAAATAATAATCCTCAAAATTACTAGCAAGTTGTAATATAATGATAATGAGTAATGATCCTATAGGACCCTCCTCCATCCATGTGTGTAAGATCCCAAAGGATCACCATTAAAGTTAGCACGAATCTCTAAAAAAGTTATCACATGGGTGTGGGATTTGATTTTTTTATAGATCCGTGCCAAATTTAATGGTGATCATTTGGGGTCCTATACACATGGGTGGGGGAGAGTTCTATAGGATCATTTCTCAATGATAATTCATATAACCATAAAATTTATGCTCCTATGCCTGAAACCGTCCAATCAATGGATGGATGGATGAAAACGTAGGGCCTACCCCATGGGGAGGTCATGTTGGGTGGCTTTCAAACTCCTCATCACAATTCATCCAATGAATTGATGGTGACGATACTTATGACGGTATATTTTATATGGTCAACAGAACACCTTACACTTTTCCTATGTATTAACCGATATCTGCCTGAAATTAATTATGATTTTCTTTTGCTGTAAGTTAATGCAAAAAAATTCAATCCAAAACTAATTTCTCGATAAGGTATTACATACCTCTTGTAGGAAATCAGCGGCACCTTTTCTTTCGGGGCACCTGAATCCGCAGCTTTCGAAGAAATGGAGCACATAATCCCGAGGACCATGGTAGACGATCTTCCCTTCTGCCATTAATATGACTTCATCGAAAAGCTCGAAAGTTTCGGGTGCTGGCTGAAGGAGAGAGACTAAGACAGTAGCATCCATGATATGCACGAGTTGTTGCAGATAGCGAATAATTTGGAAGGTGGTGGAACTATCTAACCCTGTCGAGATCTCGTCCATGAAGAGTGTTTTCGTCGGACCGACGATCATCTCCCCTGCAATATCAAATGCCATGGAGTTGAGGTTGCCGGTTTTTATACAGATAATGCATAAGAAGCCTTAATATGCAGTTGTATGATGTAGCTTCAATGTTTTCATAGAAAGATTTCTTTTTCAGCTGTCTTAATGGCCAATAGAGCATGATAAGCATTGGTAATTGTGGTTTAAACTGTAGCTTGGGATGCTTCAATCTGAGTTAGGCTATTGTATGATGGACGGTTAAAATGGAGCACATGGAAAGATATCAAGAACCTTTTGGAAGTAAAATTGGGATGCTTCGAATTGTGCATATTGTATACTCTTTGTACGAGGTGGTCAGTGTCACTCGTCCATCAGATTTCAAACCGGGTGGTTGTAAGAGTATTATTGAATTGTGCATACTGTATACTTTTCGTATAAAGAGGTCAGTATCACTCATCCATCAGATTTCAAATCGGATGGTTGTAAGAGGATCATTGACTAGACTCAAAGTTCAAAAAAATTTCTCCCAATCCATCCAATTTGACACCTAATGGCTACGAGCAATTATGACGTCTTTGTAATAAAGATAAATTATTTCATAACATACAATCCCATTTAAAATTAGACATATCCTGAGTTATTTTGTGAAAAATAAAGTGCAACGTTCTTCATTGTTCTTGAACGATTTGAAGCAAAATGCCACACTAATATAGTTGATCAATATCACATTTCAACCTTGGTTCCGTCATCACAACATTTCCCTAATAAACGTGCTTGTTTGGCATGAAACGATTTCCTCATTAAGACTAACGTTCGAGTGTTAAATTCCTACTTTAAAAGACAACTACAATAAATACGTCACAATCATTATTGATTGTTAGATGTGAAATCAGATGGTTAGCATTTATGTTATCACCGGGTACAAAGTCTCAAATAAAATTTATTGAGTATTGGGATGAACTTCAATATGTCAGATTTCACATCTAATGGTTACAAGTAATTGTGACCTCATTGTATCAAAAGTAAACGATTTTATTAATCTATATACACCCTAGTTATAAGGATCACTATTAAATACAATACCTGTGGTTAATCTTTTCTTCTCTCCTCCGGAAATGCCTCTACGCATAATGTCACCCACTATGGTGTCGGAGCATATGTCCAGGCCAAGAATCTACATATAACATTTTACAAATCAATAGAAAATGGCTGGAGGAAATATTATTAAAATACCCTTATTTTCATAAATGAGCAAAGCACCTTAACATGACCACATTTTACAAGTGATTTAAATGAGCCCACCAAGGTTAATTACGTGGTTTGGAAAATGGAATTATTTTATTAACCGGAAAAGATGTGATGATCTAGCGACACCATCATAAACAAATTGGTCACCAGTTGAAAACCAGTCTTAAAAATTGCCAAGCTGGCTCAGAATTGAGGGTAGGAATCTAAGACCTCCTCAATTTTTGTAGCCTCCCTTAATGGCAAGTAATTTTTATTGCATTTTTGCATAAAAGCTCGGTAGTAAAGTCATGGAAAAAAAACCAACTACAGCTATGCACCAAGAAAAGCTACCTTTAAAATATAATCGGTTTGAAGGCTTCTTTTGACTCCCTCTGTAGAGATGGCCTGCGAATAAATTGCAATCCCATTTCAGCAAAAATATAGAGCCTTTGGTGTAAGATTATCACAATTAATCTTAAGATTATCACAATTAATCTTGATCGGTGGATGTAAAATGAGGTGGATGCATTTGTTTTATTGACAAAATTCAAAGTTCAAAAGAAATATTCACGAACTTTATAATACACCCAAGCTATCAGATTTCACATCGATTAGTTGTAAGTAATTGTAACCTCCTTGTTCCAAAGGTAAATGGTTTCATTAAAGGGCAATTATTTCATGCAACGTTTGTATAGTACTATGATGCAACAACATTTAAAAATCATGTTATGGCTATTTGTTTTATCCAAATTTTGAAATATACATTTTTTTTCATTCTAATGAACAATGAAAAAAAAAAAAATTGAAAAAACAACCTAGAAAATAGTTTTTTGGCCCAATTAACATAGACCGTTCATTTTGGTGAGATGCTTAGATCTAGACCTTAGAATGAGTTTTTCATTTCTAATTTTTTCGGATAACTTCATTATCATTAGATGAACAATGTTAAAAAAGAGAAAATTGATTTGAGTTTGTAAAGGCTAAGATCTTGAAATTTACCAAATGAATGGTCTAGATTCGTTTTTGGAGGGGATGGCCAGGTTCAAATTGAACTTCTCTTTTAGGAGGGGGGGATTGATTATTGAGATGAAGAGAGTGTGTGTGCAAAATTTTAGATTATACAAATACCACAAAACATGATTTTCTAGAAGCGTCGTTGCATTATAATATGATACAACCGTTGCATGGAGTCACTGCCCCACATTACATACAATCCCTTATAAAAATATATGTGAGAGAGAGAGAGACCTTCATGTAGGTGTCTATGTCCGATCCAGGCACAATTCCAGCTTGTTTTTCCCTTCTAGTAACTTCCGCTACGAGCTCTTTTAGCACACACAAAGGCAAACCCTAGAGTTAATCTAAGGGCTCTATATGAGCCGAACTCATGTAATCCCCAATGAGCAAAGATCTTTACATCATGTCAACTTACTAAAGGAAAATGTTTATATAAGGTGTCAACCTTTTACTATTGAAGTAAGGCGCACCTTAGAAACCAATCAGAAAAGCTTGTTTTAATGTTGAAAGCCCTCAAATTGATCATCGCAACCTCGAGATATATAGATACAAAAAAAAAAAAAAGATTTCAAGTCATGAAAATAGTAGATCTTGTACCATTATCTGGAGGACATGGTTTTTATAAGTCCATGTAGAAATGCGTCCCCTCTTAAAAATCTATTTTTGATACGGATTTTTTGAACCAATTTTTAAGGACATAATTTCTAACATGAGATCATGGATATAAATAAATAAATAAATTTTAATTAAAATTAATAATTTTATAAAATAAACATTTGGATTGTTAGTTTCAATTGTTTTTAGATAGAATACCCATTTGCATCCATCTTAAAGATGGATGCTTTATACCTCGGGGGGTGCAAATGTAGAAATGCGTCCCCATGCTCATGAAATGATCTTCCTTGTCTGAACCATCCATTTTTTTTAAAAAAAATAACTGTTCATAGATCTTCTCGACCTGCATCACTGCTTTAAATTTCATAATTAAGAGTGAAAACATATTTTAACGAATTTTTAGGCTTTTCAGTACCAAAACTGCATCTTTCAACGTAGTTTTGATCTGCGTCTTACTTTGATATTACATGATTGACACCTTATACAAACCTCACCCCTAACTAAAGCCAAATTTAAGATGCCATTCAACATTTCTTACCATGTCTGCTACCAATTCCTTGGCAACGAGCTGAGAAATCTAGGGTTTCTCTAACAGTCATCTCAGGAATGTGCAGGTCATACTGACTTACATAAGCTGATGTCTTTTCAGGAACAAATTCTTCTAATTTGTACCCATTGTATGTAATTTCACCAGATTCCTGAAAGTGAAGAAGCTCCTTAGGTTTAAAAATCTTACTATATTAAGGCATACTAAAGAAGAAATTTTTCCTAAATAATATACAAATTGTATCTTTTTCAAAAGGAAGGATACAAGATAATTGCAAGAGAGTAATGCCATTGCCTTTTGTCTTCTTTGGTCCCCACTTCCATGCTATTTATTAGGATTTTTATGATATTAAGAGGGGAAATTCATCAAAATACACATGAGAGATTAATTATTTAACATTTTACTTATGTCATCTAGTTTAATTTCAAAAAAAAGATAAAAGTATATATGACATGAGTTGAAATAGTTGAAAAGTGCAGATTTTTAAATTCTTGAAAAGTTAGGTGTATTTGGATAAAGGGGAAAGTTTATATATAAGGTTGCAACTTTAAAATGTAGAATCACATATGCACCTCAAAAATCTATCGAAAATGTTTTAATTTTGAAAAAAACACTCTAATCAATCATCTCGACATCGAGATGTATGAATATGAAAAAAAAAAATTTCGAGTCCCGAAAGTAGTGCATCTTGCAACACATTATCTAAACCATCCATTTTCAAGATTTTCATATATTTATAAATCTACTTAATTTTAATTATTTTTGGAATTCCAAAATTTTCTAATTACATATGAAAATAGATTTTAAGATAATACTAAGACTTTTTTGTAACAAAATTACATGTTATGATAAAATTTTAAAGTGCGCGTTAATTGGATTGTTTAAGGTTGCAACCTTATAGAAACCGCACCCTTTTATAAATTTCACTATTAAAAAAAAGGACAAAGATTTTGTGAGCTGCCCAGTCCACAAAATAGAGGGACGCTAGACTTTCCATATCAAAGAATAAGATGGTCAACGCTCACTATCAAGGAATTTTGCTCTTTAATGGCATGATTATTTTGTATTTTGAATTTTTATATGTTTTGTTCGGGCCCATGTGTCTCCAAAATTTAAAGTCAATCGTATTTATAAAGAGTTAAAAATTAATTGGTTTTGACTAACATATTAATTAAGATTTAATCTGAGTCATTCAGCTTATACTGATATGAAGCGAGGCAATCAACAACCTCTTCTTTTTGGAAAAAGTAAATTGATATGCAGTTGATTCTTGAAATTGTGTTGGTTTTGCCTGGTAAATTGAAAATTTGTTGGCATCATTTATTTGCCAGCAACTTCATGCTATAGTCACAACACATCTTTTGTCATTTAAAATCAAGAAATTTATCAAAACATATTTGAAGTATCAACTACTTGATTTATTTATTTTTTTTAAAAACTCAACTATTTGATATGTTAATGTATATGTGTGAGAGAGATTGATATAACCTTTAGAGAGAGAGAGAGGAGGGGGTAGAGAGAGAGAGAGAGAGGACGGGTACGTAGGAGGACGCACTCCGACGTCCTTACGAGACGTAAGTACGTTAACCTTTAAAGTAAGGTCGGTTACCGTTTCCGACTACGTCCGGGT